CACTCCTGCTTTCCTCTGGAAGATTTCTTTATCTGGATTATCAGATATCCAGAAATAACTATAAAGCATGCCAATCCAAACCAAGGTCACAGGTAACAAATCTTGTAGCAAGAGTTGAATTAAAATGACATATAGGTATTACTGGTTACAGTGGTGTTTCAGTAACAGTTCTGCCACACTAGAACAAACTTTCCCCAAGGAAACATCTCTTCTGCTCGTAAATGCCAAGTCAGCTCATAAGCTAGAACCCTCTATTTTCCCCAAATCAAAGAATAATGTCCGTTATACTCAACATCACACTGGTGATAAGTTGAAAGCTTTTCCTCTAAGATCACAAACAAGACAAGGATGCTCATTTTTGCCATTTTATTCAACATAGTACTGGAAGTCCTAGCCAGAGCAATTAGGCAAGAAAAAGAAATGAAAGGCATCCAAGTCAGAGAGGAAGACGTAAAACTGTCTCTATTTGCAGATGACATAATACTACATACAGAAAATGCTACGCTACCAAAAAACTGTTAGAACTAATAAACAAATTCAGTACAGTTTCAGGATACAAAATCAATATACAAAAACCAATTTTGTTTCTATACAATAACAACAACCTACCAGAAAGAGAAATTTTAAAAATAATCCCATTTACAACTGCACCAAAAAGAATAAAATACCTATGAATAAATTTAACCAAGGAAGTGAAAGATCAGTACACTGGAAACTACAAATCATGGGTGAAACAAACTGAGACAAAAATAAATGGAAAGATATTCCATGCTCACGAATTAGAATCATTAATATTGTCACCTGGCAGGGCGTGGCTCAGCGGTTGAGCGTCGACCTAGGATCCAGGTGATCCGGGTTTGATTCCCTGTCAGGGCACATGCCCGGGTTGCAGGCTCGATCAATGACTCTCTCATCACTGATGTTTCTCTCTCTCTCTCTCCCCCTCTCCTTTCCTCTCTCTGAAATCAACAAAGATATATTTAAAATATATATATATATTGTTAAAAATGTACATACTACTCAAAGTGACCTACAGATTCAATGTAATCCCTATCAAAATTCCAATGGCATTTTTCACAAAAGTAGGAAAAACAATCCTAAAATTTGTATGGAACCACAAAAGACCCCAAATAGCCAAAGCAATCTTGAGAAAACAACAAAGCTGGAGGTATCACATTTCCTGGTTTCAAACTATATTACAAAGCAATAGCAATCAAAAGAATAGAATATTGACATAAAACCAGACAAACAGGTCAATGTAACAAAACAGAAAGCACGAAAATAAACCCACACATAGATGGTTAATTAATTCATGACAAAGAAGCCAACAATATACACTAGAGAAAGGATAGCCTCTTCAATAAATGGTGCTGAAAAAAATGAACAGGCACATGCAAAAGGATGACACTAGATCCATACCTTACACCACACACAAAAATCAACTCAAAATGGATTAAAGATATGAACATAAGACCTGAGACCACAAACACCTAAAAGAAAACACAGAGGGATAAGCTCCTTGACATCAGTCTTCGCAATGATTTTTTGAATTTGACACCAAAAGCCAAAGCAACAAAAGCAAAATGTGAGACTCTATCAAACTAAAAAGCCCTACATAGCAAATGAAACCATCAACAAAATGAAAAGGCAACATTTTCAAATCATGTATCTGATAAGAGACTAATATCCAAAATATATAAAGAACTCACACAACTTAATAGCACAAAAACAAACAATCTGATTAAAAAATAGATAGAGGAACAGAGCAGACATTTTCCCAAAGGAGATATATAAATACCCAACAGGTACTGAAACTTAACATGACTAATCATGAGGGTAATCCAAATCAAAACCACAATTAGATATCTATCGCCTCACACCTGTTAGAATGGCTATCAAGTATTTGAGAGGATGTGGAGAAAAGGGAACTCTTGCACACTGTTGGTGGGAATATAAATTGGTGCAGCCACTATGCAAAACAGTGTGGCAGTGCCTCAAAAAATTAAAATACAACTACCATACAGTATGATCCAGCAATTATACTTTTAGGTATATATCCAAAGGAAACAAAATCATTATCTTGAAGAAATATTTAAACTCTCATGTTCACTGCAGCATTATTTACAATAGCCAAGGAAACAACCTATGTGTCCATCAAAAGATGAATAAATAAAAGAAAATGTATGTACACACACACACACACACACACACACACACAGGAATATTATTCAACCATAAATATGAAGAAAATTCTACCATTTGCTACAGCATAGTTAGACCTTGGGGGCATTATGCTAAGTGAAATGAGTCAGACAGAGAAAGATAAGTACTATATGACCTCACTTATATGTGAAATCTAAAAAGAACTAAACTTTTAGAAATAGAAAACATACTGGTGGTTGCCAGAGGCAGGGGTAGAGGGTGGGTGAAATGGGTGAAGGCAGTCAAAAGGTACAAACTTCAATTTATAAGATCAGTAACTTCTGGGGATGTAATGTACAGCACGGTTACTACCGTTAACAATACTGTATTGTACATTTGAAAGTTGCTAAGAAAGTAGACCTTAAAAGTTCTCATCACAAGAAAAAAAATGTATAACTATGTGAGGTGATGGGTGTTAACTAAACTTACAGTGGTAATGATTTCACAATAGGTATATATATCAAATCATTATGTTGTATATCTTTAATTCAATATTATGTCAATTATGTGAATTAAACTGGGGGAAAAGCTTTTTTAAATAATGTCCATGTGTCCATTAGGAGACTGATACTTTTAAATATAATCCATGGAGCTCTGGCAGGTGGCGCAGTTGGCTGCAGCATCGTCTCGTACACCAAAAGGCTGCTAGCTCGATTCCTGTTCAGGGCACATACCTAATGTTAAGGGTTCGATCCCAGGTCGGGACGAGTACCGAAGGCAACCAATTGATGTTTCTCTCTCCAATAGATGTTTCTCTCTCTCTCACTCGCTCTCTCCCTTCGTCTCTCTCTAAAATCAATAAAAATATATCCTTGGGTGAGGGTTAAAAATAATTTTTTAAACATATATAACCCATGGACCAGAAGCACTGCCCTGATATTACATTTGACACATAACCATGAGGACTGAAACAGAGTTTACTTTACATACTGGTTAAAAATTAGCATTCTGTGAGAACAAAAACTGATCACAATATGAAAAAACAATAAAAGGCTGCAAGCAGTTAGTTTATTACAACTTTTTGGATCTGATGGCACATTAACAACAAAAAACAATCCAGTGCAATAATGGATATGTGGTTTCAGAAAGACAGTCATACTTTAAATAGGAAAAATATGTTTAAATGATAACATTCCTTAAGACAGAGGTCTAGTAGGTCTGGTATCAAGTTCTAGTGGAAAAATAATTCACCATCATAATCACAAAGTAACTAAATGATATATTTTTTATTTGCTGATATGCATTCATAATTCTCATTTTGAAGCAAAGATTTTTATTTTTCTGGTGCCATCAAGTGGTAACATTATGAAGTGTTCTAGGGTTAAATGCAAATAGCTTTTAGACAAAAGAATCCCACTGATGTGTTTTATCCATGTCAATTAAACACTAGTGATGTTTTAGCACAAAAATTATCTAAAAAGAAAAGGGAACAATATCAGAGCCAATTGTTTGCAACTCATCCCTATTTTAAACTCCCACCAAAATAAGAGTTACGACAAAGAAGAAAAATGAGTAGATCTTTAATACCAGAATGCTCCACTAACAAACAAAAAATTCCAATAGACTGTGAAACTATTTGAAAAAACAAGTTTGTATCAAAATGAAATACATTATCAGTCCAACCAAAGAAAAATGCTCCTTCCTGAAACTCCATTCATATGGCTGTAAAATAATTATTTTTAAGGCAAAATCCCACAAGGACAAAGAGATTGAGAGAAAATATAGCAGCAACAACATTTTAGAAGCCAGAAAGTAGATGGATGAGTGGTTACAGACTTAGGGAAACTCCAGAAAGCTGCCTGACTTACATGGCACTAAATCTCTCCCACAGTTCAGGAACCGGTGGCATGAGGTAGCTGTGCAAATGAGAGGGAAGGATTAAAAACAAGAAACTTAGTCAAAATTAGTTAAAAAGCAGTTAGGATGCCACTTCACACACTTCTTCACTCCACACAGCCCAGTAGTCACCTTTACACCACGTTGGAAGAATGAACGTTTATACTCTAGGAAGAATACGACTCCATTTCTAGACTACAAGCGTAATGAGGGTGGGAATAAAGTGTTAGTAATACAGGAGGCTGCGGTAATCTGAACGGTACTAACAAGTCAAAGACCACCAAAAACACAACGGAAATGATAATTTGCTGGAAAGAAAACCACTGTAAGAAGGTCTGATGGACGTTGGATTAGTGTCCAGGAAGTCACGTAACTGACTGCAGCACGCTTCAGTCTGCTGCTGAAAGGAAAAGGCAAATAAACAAAAACTGATGCTTAATGAAAAGGTGAGTTCCACGTAGCATTCAGCAACATTCAACTCCACGTGCCCCACGTCACTCCCATTCATTAGCTGAGAATTTACTGCAGCCAACGAAGAACAAAATAGCAGGTAAATCCGAGAACCTTTTACACTCTTAGTTTAAAAGCCCATCTCATCTCCACTCTTCAGGCCACTGAGAGGTAATGCACTAAACAATCTCTGTGAACACTCCTCAGAGAGGTGAAGGCGGCAGAATATTGGCCATGTCAGGAAAAAAACACCCCAAAAAACCCACATTATTATTTATCATAGAGACTTGATTTTTTAATCCTATTTTGTTGTTTGATCAGAGTGGAGAGTTAAGTACATCTGATACTGCATGTAACCAGAAGTACGTATCCATATTTAGGTCATTTAATCTCTAGTAACTTCTCATTTTCAGTCCTGCTTTTACAGAGGATTATATGTAAGATACAGTTATATGTATACACCTTTTTCCCAGACATCAACATAAGAAACATTAATATAGATAAAACTGTACCTTGAACACCTTCTAGGAGTAAATCAACTCCCTTCCTATAAAAATCAGAAGCAGCTTCATAGTCGTCTTCTTCTTCCTTTTTCAGAGCCAGCTTTATTAATTCTCCTGCCTTCTCCAAATAACTTCTCTTGCCAAGCTTGGATTTTAAACTGCCAGGGAAGATGCTACGAATTTCCCGCTCTTCTTCTGTTTTGTTCTGCTCGCTGTCATAAGCAAAAGCCCCTAGTGCCGAAGGATCCGAAGGAAGATTGAGACCAAAAGTTCTGATGGGAGAATTTTGATTGGAAGCCATTCCATCATCTAACTCAGCAAGAGAATCCACATCAACAGTAAGGGATATAAGGTCACTGTCACTGGAGACGCCTGGAATACGATCACAACAGTAAACATATTAAATTGAAAATCAGCCGAAGGAATACAAATCATGCCGACTATTCATTTTTTCACACGATCCAAGTCACGTAGGAAGGCTGTAATTTACTGATGAAGCTGGTATCTAGGAATTTGTTTCAGCTGAGTTCATGCATGTTTTCAATATTTTTATTATTTTATTTATTTGTTTGTTTGTTTGAATCCTCAGCCAAGGATGTGTTTATTGATTTTCAGAGAGAGAGAAAGGGAGGGAGGGAGAGAGAGAAACATCAATCGGTTGCCTCCCGTACTCGCCCAAAAGGAAATCAAACCTGCACCCTAGGTATGTGCCCTAACTGGGACTGAACCCACAACCTTCTGGTGTACGGGACACGCGACAATCAGCTGAGCCGCCCAGAGAGAGCAGTTCATTCATTTCTGCACTGCCTCTCGAGAGCTCTGGAAGACCATCTCCTTGCCTTAAGTATCAAACTAAAACTGAAGACAAGTCTTTATCTAGCCTTGGCGTCAAAAAGAGCCTGTACCACAAGATCTTGTAGACCACTTTTAGAAAGTGGATGCCTGCACACACAGCTGCTGTGAACAATAATATTATGACAAAGGGAAAAGAGTAAGAGCTTTAGAGTAAGTAAAAAAGAAGTTTTTGAAACCCAGATCTTAACACTTATTGTGACCAACAGCAAGTTACTTAACAGTATTAGTTAATGCATATGAAGCATAACAGACTATCATCAAATTATAACTATTATAGCAATTATATAATAATTATTTAACTACTAGACAATATATACATAGGTGTGCTTTTAGGTCACCATTGATATCTGGAAAATGTATGCCATTTACTGTGGATTTTTATAATTGAATTTTTAGGAATTTCTGTTTCAGGCTTTTCCACAGCTTTTGGAGAGAGTTTTGCTCTATATTCATAACTTAGTTTTCTGACAGAAAATGAAAAATAAGTGCTGTTAAAGGTTTTAGCAATGAAAATTATTTCTTCCATTTCATATAACTGACTTCATAGTAAACGAACATGATCTACAATAATGGTTATTAAATTTTTTGGTCTCAAAAATCTCCCTTTACATTCTTAAAAATGATTGATGACCTCAAAGAGATTGTTTATGTGGATTTTATCTGTATATATTTACCAATCTTGATATTTAAAAATCAGACTGAAATTTTTATATGAAACATTAAAGCCCATTATATGTTAACACAATTTTTGTTTTAAAAAAACTGTATTTTCCAAAACAAAGAATATTTAGTCAGAGAAGTGGCACTGTTTTACATTTCTGCAAATCCTGTTAACAGAAGATAGCTAGATTCTCATATCTGTTCTGCACTCAATCTGTTATCAGATGTTCTGGTTGAAAGATTTGAATAAAATGTCACACAGATAGGTAATTGAAAATGGGGTAAATATTTTAGAAACCTTTTAAAATAATTTTGGACACTGTCTTTTAATACTACACCAAAACTTGACAAATGGTTGTTTCTTAAAGCTTAGCTGCCATGTAAAACATAAATTCCTATCATTGAAATTTCTGTTTCTGTTACACTCAAATCCATTGGTCTGTCTTACATACTGAATCGACCTTTTCATCCATCCTGAGTTTGTAACATCAGACATTGGTCATTTTGAAAATACCGGTTTCCAGAGTTATACAGATCTTCCAAACAGGGACAAGTTTCATATTACAATATCACCCCAAAACCACATTTGTTACTATCACCACCAATTTCACCAGAAAATTCTATAAGTATTGGGAAACTGTCAAGTTCAAAGTGGAAGACACAAGTTCTCCAAAATTCCAATTTGGGGTTGCAAACTTAAATTTTATCAGTGGCAACAAATACCGTCAGTTGTTTTCCTTCAAGTGTCAGCTTGCTTTGCTCACTTTCTAAAAAATATGTGTCAAATTCCCAAGTCTGAATAATGATAGTTTGTTTGTCAATCATCGTTTCAAGCAAATATGGTGTTCCAGGAAAAAAGCAGCTAGTTTCTGGCTCAAGCTACTGCTCAAGAACTTTTCCTCAACACAACCATGGCAGTTCAGTATGCAGAAGTGCTCTATGTAAACTTCCATTTCATCACACAGAATGGCAAAAAGGCATGTACTCAAAGACTGAGATTTAATATGATTAAGTTCTTACTACTTCTTCAAGGACACAGCACTGGCATTTCTACAAGTGTGTGCAATGCTTACTGTTACAGGCTGGTGTCACTCTCGATTCACACTCAACACACTAGTTTTACCCGCCACAGTTTCCGTGTCATCAGGCAAATATCAACACAGGGCAAAAAGCAAATAGTTTTCTAGATTATTAACAAAACATTTCTGCCTTGGGGACCTCCTAAAAAGATCTCAGGAATTCCCAGGGGTCTGAAAACCATACTTTGAGAGCTACTGATCCATATCATTAAAAAGATTGGCAATAGGGTTATGTAAAAGTTAGGTTTGGAAACAGCTATGAGATCTGCATCATTGATTGCCAAGTTTCTCAGAAAAGTAAATACATTAAGAAGGAAATTATTTCCTCAGTGAATCAAAATTAAAGGTGGATTAGACTCTATAATTCTAGATGATCAGGGATCAACTAACTTTTTTGACAGCCAAGTGTGAATATTTTAGGCTTTGTGGGCCATCTTCCACGACTAATCAACACTGCTATTATAGCACAAAAGCAGCCACAGACAATACATGAATAAATAAGCATGGTTGTGTTCCAATAAAACTTTATTTATGGATATTAAAATATGAATTCCATATAATTTTCACATGCCATAAAATAAAATTCTTTTGAAGTTTGTCAACTATTTAAAATATAAAAACCATTCTTAGCTTTGAGGTCATATAAAAACAGGTGGCAGGCCAGATTTGGCCCACAGGCTATAATTTATCAACCCCTGTTATAGACTCAAGTTGTTTATTGCACATCAAATAAAGTAAGTTAGGGTAAAAACATGTTACTGGCAGCTAAACTCAAATTTCAAATCAGTTTTAGATACAACTTTGGCACCTGTCAATATATTCTGTTTTCAAGGTTTTTCTTTCAAATCCTCAGAATGTCCATAAAGAACTAATTTTGAGGTACAAACTTCCAGTTATAAAATAAATAAGTCAAAGGGATGTAATGTACATCATGGTGACTATACATAATACTGCATTGCATATTTAAAAGTTGCTAAGAGTAGATCTTGAAAGTTCTCAGCACAAGAAAAAAATCTGTAACAATGTATGGTGAGAGATGTTAACTAGGCTTACTGTGGTGATCATTACGCAATACAGTTGACCCTTGAACAACAGCAGCTCCCACCTCCATGCAGTTGAAAATACACATGTAACTTCTGACTCCCCAAAAAGTTATCTACAGTCCCTCAGTATCCACAGGGGGTTGGTTCCAGGATCGCTTGCAGGTAGCAAAGTCCACAGATGCTCAAGTGCCTTATATAAAATGGCATAGAACATGCATACAGTCATCCCTCTGCATCCTCAAGTTCCCAACCGTGGATCAAAAACACTGTTTTCAATCCACAGTTGGCTGGACCCACAGATACAAAACCTGGGGAATATGAAGGGCCAACTGTACATTTATTAAAATAAATCTGCATATAGTGGACCTGTGCAGTTCAGACCTGTGTTGTTCAGGGCCAACTGGGTGTACAAATATTTATTCCATCATTATGTTGTACACCTGAAACTAATTAATGCTGTTATGTCAGTTATAACTCAATAAAATAGATATAGATAAATAGATGAGAGACAGAAATAGAGATGATAGAGATAAGAGAGATAGAGAGATAGAGAGATGATAGAGATAGAGACAGAGATATAAACAGACAGAATTAAGTTCATTCTGAAAAAGCAACAAATTTCATTAAATGCATAATCTGAGATGAAATTCATTGGACCTAGTGGAAATCTCTTTTCTCTGACATTTCAACTGTACAGATAGTACTTCAAAATCAAAATCTTTCCCAGCAATCTACAAAATTATCTACTGTTCTGGAAAATATACATAAACTTTATGAGATTTTAAAAATAATTTTTAAATATTTTATGTATTTCAATGAAAATTTATTTCCTTAAATGGTGTCATTATATAACCTAGTTCACTGAAAGTAATAAACAAATAGACCAACTTCAAAATTTTTTTCTGGTTCATACAGCTAATCACAAGAAAGGAAATGCTGTCAGAGATCTTTTGTTGGCTCTCCCGGGTCTTGTCACTATAACCTTCACACCATCTATCACATGGTACTGTCTTATGCTTTGCCTGATTTTCCTTTCTAACGAGAACAATAACACCAAAGGGCAAGAGGGTAAAGTTATGTACACTCGGTTTTTTGGCTTTTGAACACAAAAATCTACTGTCATAGTCATATTTCCTCTTACCTTTCCAACCTTATTTTATTAGCAAAGGAAACCGGGGTTAAATGAAATTAGATCAGAAAAGTAAGACCATCAAAATACCTAGGGAGAAAGTCAGATAGCAAAATGAAGTAAGAAATAAATATTCTATACAAGTTGTTTCAATTTCTATCTAATTCTAAATGAAGAATCTTTCAAAGTAAGCAAGCAAATAAAAACTAGCAGGTTAGGAAGAGGAATGTCTTTAGCCTAATTGGAGAAGCAAAGAGAAACAAATAAGACTGCTTCTGGTTTAACCTTGTTGGAGGACAGTTTGGCAATGCATATTAGATGCAAGAAAAGGCGAGTATCCTTGACCAAGCAATTCAGCAATTTATATAAAAGCAATCAGGTATGAAAAAAGATCTATATATGACTATCTACCACAAAAATTAGTGAAAATTTTGCAGTAACAAATTTCTAACAATAGGAGATGGTGGTTCATCCCAATGATAAAATATTATACAGCTATTAAAAAGTATGTTATAGAAGCATGTTTAATGCTACATAGTATTCATGTTCTATTATGCAAAAATGACAAACTGCAAAGCAGTATGCAAATACATACTATAATTCTAA